TTTATACGTCATACGTACCAGTAATGGTTCTGAGCGCATACAACAATAGCAGAGGAACATCGTGGATTCGAAACAATAGAAATATACATAAGTACCTATGTCTAATACTTCTATGACTCCTCGGTTTTCCTGGAGTCACCTTATACATTAAACTTACCGAAGTGTTACGATAACCGAGGTTATATTTTCAGCCATATAATGCCAATACATACGATGAAAAATTAGTCACGATAAACTCAGAACAACCAGTTAATCGCGTCAAATGTCTATTAATAGAACTGTATCAGAAACCAATCGGAGAGTTAATCTGAGCGTCACCAATAGCCATATTTCTTTAGATGTTTATCCGAAGTTACGTCTTGATAATATTCGTTTAAACATCGTTCGATATTCCCATCAGTTATTTATGGAACAGCTTTAAACTCAGAATTAGATTTTATTGAGGATATAACCTGTGGAGTTGTAATGGGAATAATTTTAGACGTAATCATAATGGTATTCGATAAAACACATCTACCTAACATTCGAAGAGGATGATAAGACTAAACGAGTCCAAGGGAATGGTATATTGACACAAAAGTGGTCATTGTACTCAGAAACAAAAACATCATTAGGAAGCAATTCATAAATTCCGCGCTTCAGTGGTTCATGGTTGATTAGAATGTCATGTAAGGCATCTTGTGAACTGTTCACTATCAACCGACTGACCTGTGTATTATTGAATGCATTCAAGTCGTAGCACGTGAGCTGCCGACCCGTGCTTTTTCTAAAGGCTGACAGTTTCTACTCCCGTGCCGCTATTAGTCGAGCGTCACTGAACTACAGGAATATCATTATCAACGGCTGGCTATCGATCGCACCAGAACCACCTCCGCCCTCTTCCCCGGTGACTACGTCATCGTTTGCCTCGTGTCTCTGCAACAATGACGTCACAGATTCATGACGAAACACTACGTCATCGTTTTTCTCGCATGCGCACTGTATTGGGCAAAATTTACCTAAATTTAGAACTGCGATGCCGTCATACCGAGACGAGTGGAAGTGTGCTGTTGCTATGTCAGGGAACTTTAAACTTACTCTCACTTATTCTTATCGCACGTGTAAGGTATTTAAAGTAATGTTTTCCCCTTTAAGAATCCATAAAAATTTCAAATGTTTTTTTAGTTTCTTAACTTTTAATTACTACGTATCTGAATGTCGTTTCTGCAAAATGCGAGAACATATTTTCTGGAAGTTTAAAAATACATTTAAGTGCGTGGGTGTAGAATTTTCGCTTACGCGGTACCTTGTTCCATTCATAAAATTAAGGCTCCGCGTACCGCGTACCGCGTACGCCTCCCTTCTGTGGGCGTCATATTGAATCATGTGAGAATTATGTTATGGATTTGAGGTGGAAGCTTTCATCTACTGATTACGTGAAAGCGAATCATATTATGAAGTAGGCGACTTATTGTTTTCAAGAGTGTTCCGTCGTTTTCAAAGTCAAGTGTAGCTACAGACCTTTATATTTAACCTATGAACAATTTCAGCTCGAATGTGTCACATTACTCATACCTCATTATCTGCTGGCGTAGATACATCTGCAATCACAAAATGTCATTGAGTAAAATATATTTGTTTGTATATTTACTTAGTGATATAATATTTCGATTTTTCAATGACACGAGATTCGTCATGGCGGTGTTGGATCTGTCATAATATACATTCAGATTATTACTACGTAGGTACACATTCAATAAACTTCATTGGTTGTGCCCTTCAAGCAATGTTACTCTCATTATTCTTTTTTATTGCACGATGTTGTTATTGATGCATCTATTTACTTGTCGGTAGATGTTGTGGCATGAAATACACTAGGTACGCGTACATCTGCATATATTATGTTTAAAGAACATTTTACTTATTCCAAGTCACGTTAAAATGTATATAAAATGAGATCGATTTTTTCTGTATGTATGCTACAGATACCTATAATTATTTTTTACATTGTTGTCTTGTCGCGTAATATTGGCAAAGTAGAATACATTTTCAGCCCTCCTACTCTTCTCACGGGTAACAGACACCAGGCAACAACGCTTCCTAATAATCTTAACCTTCTCCAAACTGGCTACTGATCGTAGGGATTATGGCAAACCCCACCTTTGAAGGCCCAAATCAACCAGTGGAGGCAGTGAACTGTCATGAGCTGTTGATGTTTAGTTACTTTGTATTCTATAGCTACAAGTTAAGTTGACCTCGATCCTTTTAGGGGTTAACGGGTTCTAGGTCAAGTTAACCAATACAATGTACTCTGTCCAAGTTCAAATCCCTACATTTTCGTTTTAGTGGAATTGCAGGCGCGTCACCAGTTCCACGATGTCTATTATATGGTATTTAACAAATATTTTTCAAGCTTATCAGGTATGTTAAGTTCGCCATCGCTCAACTTGGCTTTATCGTCTCGATCACTGATAACATGCGCTCTTTTAATAATAGGTACACGCGCATTATACGTTTAATTGTTGCAGTTATTGTAATTCTAAATAGTGCCACTTCTCGTGTCATAGGTGCCTTGAACAATGATGTTCTTCTAGATGTTTTCGAGATTTCATATTAAACCGCAGAACTGATAGTAATCTTTTGTTGTCGACTTCCTATGACATTCAGATTTCTGGCATTCAAGTAAGTCTCTTTACTAGCCGTTGGTTGTGTCCGGAGAAAAATTTCAGAAACTTAAAACTTTTACTGTAACGAGATTCAGAAAAAATCAGCAATTCAGGTAAATATGCAGATGTAATTATGTATTGAATGATTGACGAACGAAAGATGAATATTGTTAAATTTTCTCTTCATATCCATTGGCAACTACCAAATCAACTCACATCCTAGCCCTATTGCATCTTTCACAAATTCCTGCCGACTTTAATCTGAAATCAGTTCGCCGTGACATCTCACGAATTGAAAGTCAACTGCGCTTGGTTCAAACAGTGGTAACATTCCCACCCGTTCCGATTTGGCTGGCGTGCCGCCCTACGACGCGATCCCCTTGCCCGACGGCAGATGTCGCCCCACGAACCCTCGCGTAATTTGACAACCAACATGGCCGCACACAATATCGTCGGGAATAACACGCGACCCCAGTAAAATAGTGCTCAGCCCCTATAAAACACACAGTAACCGTCTTGCAAGAAATCAGTGTGTGAAGTTTGTGGCATTAAAAAGATGAAGCTCTGGGTGACGCCAGGTACGTTTTGTGTTCATTCAGTACCGCACAGTTCTTGCTCTATTAAAGTATTGATCAGTGAAATGGTGTCAAATATAGACTTAGCAAAACCGTGTTAATGTGCCGAATATTATAATGTTAGTGGTGATGTTTCTTATTTATAATATTTGTGAATTAAATTTGGAAGTAATGTTGAGGCTACAATAAGAACGTAGTCTGCAGATTACGCAATGCAACAGCAAATAGCTAACGCGTGTTGTAAAATAGGTGCATTTGGCGCATTGCGTTGCTTAGCAACGATATGGGAGCTATGGGATTAATTTATGCGGCAGTTAAATCGCGAAGTGACACAGTTGATAGACCGCGTATGTTACATGACTACTGATAATAAAAGTTAATGAGTCATCAGCTTATATAGACTTTAAAGTGAAATAAAGATGAGCAAATATGGTATTTTACGTGTCAATACATGTGATTGTAAAACGTTATGCTCATTTATGCTATTTACGAATACAATTGTTCGCCAATAAATTATGGAAAATTTTCTGAGCTCCTTTCCAACTTATGTGAATGCCTGCACTGTTTCGATATTCGTTTATTTAAACTAGGTCATGCAGTTTTTGCTTCAGAAACCTACGTCTAAACTACTGGAAAATTATTAGATAAATCCGTACACTTCAAATATGGTGTTCCAACCAAAGAAATACAACACGTCAGTTCGAGGCATCTGGGTATAGAAACTTATTGGTATGTTTGAGCTGTATTAGTGTAGGCACCTATGACGAAGTAGTGTAATATAATGTAGTAGGTACATTGGCACGTGTTGTAGAGTGATTTTTATAACAATACGTTGAAAAATCTCATCTCATCAAACTGTTAATGTGAACACCTTTATGTCGGTCGGCGATAGTTTTAGATAACTAGACGATGGCTTGATAATGAAATAATCTTACTTGCTCAAGGTTATTTTACTTTTATTACGTAGTGATAAAGGTGTAGATACTTTGATTCTGAAAATAATCTTGTTACTTGTTGCTTGTATTCAGTATTCTTTAAGAAGCAGGGTTAATTATAATTACGAAAGATGTGTAATAATTGTAGTTTCTGATGTAACGCTTATGTTTTTTAATATTAGTAGTAGTCATTGTTAATGCAATTCTCACATTATAATTAATTATAATTAATAGGGTGTGAGCTTATTACACTTGTAGATAACTACAGATTCAGATATCATTACTGACTTACAGACTCTTAAAGGTTGAGATTTTTTAAATTTAATCCAACCTACCAAATGATAGATTGACGAGGCAGTATTTTCGCTTTAGAATTTTTTTTGTGTTGTTTTTGAAATTGTTTATCTCTGCCACAAAATTCTAATAATTATATAAAAAATAAACAGACACCTTAATGTTCGTTCCTGCCGAATAAAGTTTATGTCCACACATTTCATTATATATTTAGTAGTTTGTACTTACATAGAATTTAGCGCTGCTTACAATCGTATAAATGTAAATTAGGATCTCGTAGATAAAATCTATTATTTAACAATAACTAATTATCGTCCAATTATAGTTAATAGTTACCGTAAACAATGAATAACAACTTAACTAATTTGTAGTTATTATATATATTTTCATAATAAGTTTTATGTGTAGTTCCCTCATAAGTAGTAAAGTAAATACTGAATTTCATTTTACTAATATACTTTTTCATTCTTTTACAGGTAATGGTAAACATTTTCCTGGATTATGCTACAAGATAAAGGTATAAAGCATTATTTTGTTATTCGTATTTGGATATGGATCCAATTCTAGAAAATGAATCTGCGACGACCGAATCACCGACCAAACATGGCAAGGCGAAACATAAGAACAAAAAGAAGAAGCATTCGGAAGCGCAAAATCAAACCGTAGTTGGTGAGCGAAAGAGATTTGTTGTTACCACATTACCCAATACAGAAGAAAAAGTTCCTTCTAGAGTAGCTGATAGTAATGTACATACGGTCCATTTTGGCACGCGAGGTGTCGAGTCACAAAGGCCCCATGTAAGGTCAATATTTAAAGAAAGGCCTGCCGATACGTCCCGGGCATCTAGTGCGGAGCGCCAGTCAGCACCCGAGAAAGGATATGAAACTTTTCATGGCACGTCGTCTAGTCCACGGAGCTCTATTTTTGATATATTTCGTTTAAGAAGAAAAAGTGATGCTAAGAAATATCCGCCGAAACAAGCCAAAACGACGGAAAGCCAAGAAGCCCCTGAAAGTCAAGATGACCAGCAATATGCTGACAATAAAGATTCCCACAAGAAGTATTACCACACAGTTACTGGAGCTTCATCTCGCAAGTACAGTCCCATTACGAGGGTAATGGATATTTTCCGCAGCAAGCCTCACGCAGAAAGTAGCCAGTCTCCTGCAGATCCAGTCAAGAAGAAAAGCAACAAACAAGTTCGTCGGTCTTCTATTGAGACGACTTCACCTACTTATCATAAAAATTCATACGCTTCTTTAGATCCATCGCAAGCAAAGCAAATGTTTAGGGAAGTACGAGGCCTACCTAAATATGATCCTTATTTATCTATCGTCCAAATATCCATAGGTGGTAGGGATAAAACTAGGCTCTTACTGAATTTTTTTAAGTATCATAAATGTTATGAAATTTTACCAAAGTCTGCGAAAGTCATTATATTTGATACACAATTTTTTGTCAGAAAGACTTTTCCCACACTTATATCACATGGTATTCGCTCTGCACCGCTTTGGGATGCTAACAAAAAGCTTCTTGTTGGTATGATAACAGTGACAGATTTTATAAGGATTCTTCTTTATCTCGATAAAGAAAATTTATCAGTTGAAGATTTAGAACGCCATACTCTTCATACATGGAGAAAATTGCTACGATCAACGCGCAAGCCTTTGTGTAGTGTTGGGCCTGACCAGTCACTCCACGACGCCATTAATTTACTTCACAAGAACCGTGTCCACCGCTTGTTAATGATTGATCCTTTCAATGGAGATGTTCTTTACATTTTGTCACATAAGAGAATATTAAGGTTTTTGTTTGTGTATCTTAATGAATTTCCAGAATTAACCTTCTTCCATAAGACCCTAACCGAGTTAAAAATTGGAACATTTGAAGATATCGTGTCTGTTACTGACGAAACAAGTATTAAGACGGCATTTCAATTGTTGTTAGAGAAAGATGTTTCGGCTTTACCGATATTAGACGACAACGGTACGCTTATTGATGTTTATGCAAAATATGAAGTGTTAAATCTAGTGAGTGAAAAATTATATTCGAATTTGTCGTTGACCATAGGTGAAGTAAGAAATAAAAAGAAAGACTGGGAAGAGAAGTTACAAAAATGTCGTTCAAGTATTACTTTATATGAGGCCTTAGAAGTTATAGTTAGAACTGAGAGTCATCGATTATTGTTAGTAAATAAAGAAGATAAACTAGTAGGAATTGTTTCACTGTCAGACATATTAGTATATTTAAATAGAATAATTCCCACAGAGAAGAAAGTTTCTTCGCTACAAGAAATATTTAGGCCACTCGAAGAGAATAAAGTAGCAGAGTCACCCAAAGAAACTGAAAATGAGATTATAACAATCGAAGTTCCAACGCTAGCACAAAATGTACCTGAAATTGAGGAAGGAGCTTCTGCATTGCACGAGTCCAATGCTACTGCTAAGGAAGAAACAACGAACGAAGCCGAGCCGAAGGAGGGCGAGGTTAGCTCGGAGGCAGATGCAAATATTAATACTTTACCAAGTAGTAACAAATCGCACTTAGACCTTGCCATAGATCCGACTATGACTACCATCGAAGAGTCTAGTGCTAACGAATAAGTAGAACATTTTTATTCCAAAGAAATTGTGATAGGTGAAAACGCCGAATCGGTATATTAATCTCAGCTTTTGCTTGTATTGATATTGTTGTAATTTAACTTCATACTCATTAATAGTTGCATCAAATACCACGTGATTGCCTTATTATTTAATTCATGATAACATTGCTAAAACTTAATAAATTATTTTAGCAGTAATTTATGGTATTCTTCAATTTGACATGATATTCCAATATATTTGTATTTTATTGAATGATTTATCAATTTAAAAATGTGTTACATTATCATAAAATGTTTAAACAAGTCTTTTAAGGAAAACTAGCGTAGAATGAGACTTAGTTATTGGCCAGGACCTGATTGCCTGACGCAACAGTATCTTACCCAAACGGGTAGGTTTTCTAATATTGTTTTAAATGTAATGGCTCATGACATCACTTCTGTTTATGTTTCAAGGTTTAGTCTAAGCTTGCTGAAGTGAATGCAGATGTCTAATCTGAACTAATGATGTCTTCTTAAAATACTCTTTGGTAATTATGAACAGTTGATGTCCTCTCACTTTACTTGTTAACTCGTTAGTCAAGAGAAGGTGATGTAACGTGTGTTTATACACGATGGGCCAGCAACCTCACTATTTGCGCATTATTCTTAATATTTACATCCGATAGCTATGTTATATGAGCCGGCACGTGAACCGACTACTCACTCACTACATGCCGTGTTGACATCACTTACATTGCTGTTACAGTAAGGTTTCCAGTGAATGTTTGCTTTTCTTCTAGTAGTTTCTGACAAGTTTTTTACTGCCTAGAATTAGATAGATTAGATATCTATACATTTTATTATTTTATGACAACGTTTTGGCGGCCAGACTACCTACAGCTATAATGCATTCAGCTGCAATCAATTTAAATAAGAAACATTTATGTTTAGTAGGTAGATACAAGTGAGTGCAGCGGAGAGGCGCAGGCGCAGCGACCGGTCGGTGGGTGGAGGACCGAACCCGGAACAAACCACTCTGCCCCAAGGTCGCGCAGTATCTCTTACTTTTAGCCGCCAATTTAATTTTATCTCGTCCCGAGTCGATTTCTTGACGCCATAGAACTAATCACATTGAGCATGCTTGTACCCGTATCTATTACGATACGCGTCTCGGAAAGGGTTATTTGTTAATGGATGTATAATGTTAGATTAGATTATCCGCAATGGAAAATTATTTCCAAGTAAGCAAGCAACACGAGGTCTGGCAGTATTTTTAGTTATCGCTCGCGCACTGCTGCGTTGATAGTCATGCCTAGTAGTATAATGCAAGCGTTGTTTACTGTTATTACAGGAAGATCACCGAAGTAAAATTAGATTTGCACTGCAGTTTCTATTTGTATAGTCTGTATGTACGTTCATATCTATAGATTGGTATAGGTATGTAGAGAGATATGTATATTCGTGGACCAGAAACGATATTATATTATAATGTGATAGTGATAGACACTGGTCCAATTAACATACGAAAAAGAACTAGTAGCAGCCCACTCGTGTGAAACCGGTAAGTTACTTGGCACTGGGCAAGTAAATATGGAAGCTTGTCGTGCGATTGTGCGACGAATCTGCCTACACATCACGTCGAGAGTCAGGAGTCGTCTGTCGGCGTCGCTCCGTCGCGTCGACGTGTCGTCGCTGCTGCAGCAGGCGGCGCGGAGTCGTGTCGCGCCCAGTGGATGACGTCGCCTTCCGTTACATGGATCAATATCATACACATACGACTTAGAGATATGTTACAGCTGTGAATTTGTAGGTCAATGGGTCTTTAAACTATGGATCTGTAACTTAATCATACTATTCCCTGAAACTAATAACTCATACACCCACTTATGATATTAGTCACATTGAACTATCCGAGTTCATTTCTAAATGCTCTGATAAACTGGTCATTGTTTAAAAATAATCCCTTGTCTAAACGTAATAGCAGTATATGTTATTTTCAAAGTAAATAATAATTTGTAATATTATTCTGACCATATTTAAAGGCTTACAGGATTTTATTTATATGTATATTGTGTATTATTTTCCGAAAGTTATTGTTGGTAAGTATAAAGTATAAAATACCAAATAAAAATATAAGATTAACTAACTTATTGTTAAGTCTGATATTTATATAAAAAATGCAAAAACATAACTATTAAAGAACTAAGAATTAAAAAATCGATAAACCCAAATATTGAACAGTACCTGCCTACCTATAGATATTAGTATCAAACTTAATTACACTTAATTTATTTATGTAATATCTATTTTATCAAAAAGCACGAACAATAAAATTTTATTGAAAAGTGTAAACACTAAAGTAAAACACAGATTAGCTCAATTATTATAATTTTATTACTTAAATGTGCTATTAAAAGCTTTCCTAGTCGTTTACATAACATACATATTCTGATCACGGTTATGTCATTAAAATTAAATCAAATTATTTACATATATTTATAGACAAAATAAATAAAATGTTCGGTAAAACAAAAATATGCGGTTCGTTCTTTGTTCTATTTTAATATTAAAGAATGAGCTAATCGTTGATTTGACAAAAATATGTTAGCCTTGATTTACAAGTATTTTGCATAAACTTATGCAATTATTTCTATTAGATTTTTTAAGTGATGCAGTTTGTTTGGTTATGTAATTAACAAACTTTTATAAGTTACCGCGGTCCCGGCTCGAAGCAAGAGTTGGAACTTTGAACGGAGTGGTTTTTAACCGGTAAGAGTTTGAGACTCCCTTGCGCCTTACGGCTTTTTTAAAATCATCGAATGACTGTTAGACTCTTTCTGACTAAAACCCACCCCGTTCATACTCCTGCACGTCGAGCCGGAGCCCCGGTTACCTGTTACGTTTTCCGCGGCTACCTAAGGCTGGAGTCATTTGATGAATTTCCCTGCTTAAAAATATCTGAAGTATATCAGTAATACCGTTTTGGAAAACGGTTTTAAAAAAGCATTTTATGTACCTCCCTCATATTTTCCTCATAATTTGAAGGCTCTCCAAAACCTAGTTTTTATTATACTTGATAATGTTGCACTCATATGAGTGCTTCATAAGTGCATACAGTAGATAGTTATTCAGAGAGATATTCAGTACAGAATAAGTATGAAACAATATAAGTTTTATGTCGATAGAGTTTTTGATATTTAATATAAAATATTACATATTGTGTAGGTATCTGTAATCTGAGTAAATAGTATTTGACCATGAGAAAAAGATTTTGGTTAAATTTTTAACTCAATCTAGATTTGGCTAGTTACTTCATGGAATAACAACATTTGTGATCAAATTTGGTAAGTATGGTTATAGCAATGATACTTAAAAAGATCTATAAAAACTTAGAATGAGCAAAACAGTTCGAAATATTGGTTGGTTGTTGCCTAATAAATAATCTAAATTAGCATATTAATCGATTAAGTGGAGGTCACATTGTGGACAATCGCGTGAATACCTGTTCAGGTGGACCGCTCGTTGCAAAATATTTCAAGGATGATATTTTTTTGGCTTCATTGTCTAGTGATGAGAGTCTATCAACATGTAGGTAAGTATCAGATTTTTATAGCCTCAAGCCTGTTTCACCTCGAAGAGATTGTCTTTAGATGCATCCAGTTTTCGCCAGATATGTTATTATTCACATAATATTGGAAACGAAACTTATGAAAGAAATTCTATATTATGTATTCTAACTGAAAACTTAAACACTGATCATTCAGTCGTAGCGCTTACAGCCAGTCGAACACATTGGATGCCGTGTCGGACAATGATGTCCGACGCTAGCGGAGGATTGGCCTTTAACAGTTTTTGTCGAGAGTTAACTCGAGGCTTAACCAGGAATCTAAATATGAACAATTTTATTTATCTGATTTATCGAAAGCAATAGATAAGTTAAACATATTACAAGGTATGTAAATATCTTCGAAGACTTCTTTTATGTTTTAATATATCTGGCAATTAAACGGATGAATAACATAATGAGCAACCTTGCACAATAGTATGTGCATGAAGTCTTTTAAAATAAAAAAAAAATAAAAAAAAAATGAGCAACCTATTTATTTGTTTACAAGACAACGTAATTGGGTTAATTTGATGATGGCTGGCAATATCTTTAATTTTGTTTGGTGGATTAACATAGAAACTATATCTAATAGGAATGCGGTAGGTAAGTGTAATGTTTATAGTTTTATAGACTATATCGTAATCTACTAAGATTATTAACTTATATCGATTCCTTCAGGGTGTAACCGTAAAATAGGCCTTTATAAGTATTAATCTCGAAACGGTAATATACATACATTGGTATTATGTATGCAGAAACTGAATGAACCGTGCATAAAATCAATTATTAATACATCTATAGGGATTAAACACTTAAATCAATAATTCATTAATTATATTTTTAGATCTTATTAGAGTTCATGGCCATTAATTTAGTTAATTTGCAACGTGGTGAATGCAGAGAAGGATACTATTGTCACCACATCCTAATCTTACTATGGGAGTCTTGGTACACATTTGATAACTACCGGATAGCACCGCCTGGTCATATATGTAATCGGGGTGACTTTTTCTATTTTTTTTGCCAGAGCCCTGTGTTTCTTGAAGGGTATAACCTGAGTGTCTTCAAGGCCCAAGTGAATAAGTTGCTTATGGGCAGACGTGCTCCACCGTGGCCGCATCACTGCTTACCTCCAGGCGAGATAGCGGCGGTAAAAAACGCTCGGTCATAAGTTTACATCACGGGCAGTTGTTCAATTATTATAATGATTGCAATAGATTTTAAGGAATCCAGAAACTCTGTTATCTGTACTTTTGTTAAAACAAAACCTTACCTGGTGTAAGAAATGCTCTTAACAGTCACTAGAATTATACTTAAGACAATTGGTTGGCAGGATAATTTACCCGTACTGAAAATTCGCTCAGACGGTCTTGAGAGTTGGAGAGAACTGTTAGTCTGGAGAGTTCTGCGTAGAA